GACATGGGATATTATAGGAAAGCATTGAATCTATGTGCTACCATTTTATTGACAGGTGTAGACCGTCCATTTATTTTGGTTATAATTTTTAATTGTGGGTTGTCAATATCAACGGCTTGAATTGGATCACTTAATAATGTTAGTAGCGTTTTTGGTGAAAGTTTGATACTACACGAAGTAGCTGTGTCCGATTTTTTGGCTGTTGTTGCTGTTGACTCTGGGGTGGGTATAGCAGCCGCAGTAACAGGAATAACTGTATCAGATTGTGGATGATGTTGGACTTCTTGATTGTTTAAATCATAATGACCTTGTTGTGGACAGATCGAATTTTTGCAGCCCATGATTATCTTTTGAGAAACGATCATAGTTTCAAACCAAACATTATCATATATGGTTAGATGCACAATAAAATTCTCTATCGAACCTGCTATTCACTTTTCTATACTTTCAAATTTTCAATTCCGACAGGGTCCTTAATGTGAATACATGTGACTCTATTAAACGGACGAGAACTTTTCAGATTTTTACATATATCCTCGGTTTTGATGTCGATCGTTAGAGGACATCAAGATGTATCTACAAGAAATTCGGCCAAGCTTTCGGTCGAGTTTTGACTGAGTAATTCCGTTTTGATCTGCCCGATGGCATTTTGGAGCAAAAAGTATTTTTAAAAACGCCTTTATCCAAATTTCGTTCGAAGGAAGCATTTTCAAAGAAAAGCGTGGGCACAAAAGTTATTCAGAATCAGATTTCTTGTAGTGTGAACAAAGAATTTTTCAACATTCGTTAAACTCCATTTTAAATTGAAAACTACAGTTTTTGAAATTTTAAAAGTCAGTCAAATTTAACTGAAAACTCCAGTTTAAGGAATTTTGAAAAATCCTTCGTTCTTACTCCAGAAAATCTGATTCTGAACAACTTACGAATCCACACTTTTCTTGGAAAATGCTTCCTTCGAGCGAAAGTTGGTTCAAGGCGTTTTCCATTTCCAGCTGAAAATAAGCAAAATTTTGAAGTATCATATTTGACTCTGATACTTCACTAATTTGTGGAGGACACGTCAAAGTATATGTCTTGAAGCTTTTTCTACTTACAAACATTATTTGGCTGAGAAAAAAATTAATTACTGAGAAAATGTTGTTGAATTTCGACTAATCAGACTTATCGAGCAAGCGGCCAAAAAATGTATTCTAAAATTGTTAAGACAGTTCATCTTGTAGTAGCCCGTTACATTTTATATTTCGCT